TTGATATCTTTAATTCTCTAATTTTGGTGAATATTTTTGTCATTTTTGGTAAAAACTGATATTTTCGACTTGTTAAAAACCGCAAGTGCAATTGCTTTGATATTACATATATAGGTACTACATGTGGACCTCTCTCAGATTTGTTCATTTCGTGATGATATCTTCAATTCTCTAATTTTGGTGAATATTTTTGTCATTTTTGGTAAAAATGATATTTTTGACTTCTTGTTAAAAACCGCAAGTCCGATTGCTTTGATATTACATATATAGGTACTACATGTGGACCTCTCTCAGATTTGTTCATTTTGTGATGATATCTTCAATTCTCTAATTTTGGTGAATATTTTTGTCATTTTTGGTAAAAAGTGATATTTTCGACTTCTTGTTGAAAACTGTAAGTCCGATTGCTTTGATACTATTCATATTGTTCATTTTCTAATGATGTCTTCAGTTCTTTAATTGAAATGTGCATTGCTAACAGCGGAGCTATCTCAGCCGATAGGCTGCTTGTTTATTTTCTTCGTAACGGAAAGTATATTTTGACAGGAGTTTCAAATAAAAACAAACATTAATGCCTTGCTTAGTAGAAAATGATCATGGTACGGCACTAAAAAAGTACAGTACCGTGGGTACGGTAACGCAATCCGGCCATGCTTCGGCTCACAAGTGAATAACTTACTTGTTTTCGAACTGTTGAAATTGTTGATTATTACTCAGTAGTGATTATAATAACGCACGAAAAATAAATTCGTTGAATTGTTATCAAATGCAAGTAAAATTCAACTTAGTTTCACCGTAAGCGAATTATTTCGATCACATGTAAACGATCGATGCGACACAACTTCCGCTATGTAGTTTGAATGCACACGAGACATTACTTGACCGGGTAGGTCAAGTCGCTAATTAACCAATCAAAATGCTGGATGGTGCCCACGTGTTCAAATTACCTTAGTTCATTTAAATATGACAGGTCACCGACTTCATGGTAAACGAAACCCGGAAGCGATTTACCGATAATGTAGTTCGATCTTTTGGCTTTGATTTCCATGGGAAAACGACATGACTTTTTTTTTAAATCAAGAAATTAATTGTTTTCGAGAGATAAACTGAGCATTGAAAAATAATTTAACAGTTTTTTGGTGAGCTCATTGTCGAAAACTTGCGACACATTGACGTATTCATAAGCAGTATTGACAAAAGTTGTTCAAGAACAAAAGCAGTTTCACTGAGTGTTTGACTTCCTAACACTACTGAACAATAAAAAGGTGTTAATATTTTTAGGCACGTTGTCGAAACAAATGAATATAATTAGGAACAATGTACCAGCTGGTTGAAACAAAGTCGGTCACGGTCTTGTTGAATTAGGGGTGCGGTTAGTAATTGGTACTTTTCATGTTTTCAATTTTTGTTGAGAACTCTTTAACACTGAAGCCGAAATCGGGGGTGCGGTTACTATTAGGTGTGCGGTTTATAATAGGATTTTAACGGTAGGGTCTAATTGAGTAGCTTACTTAATGTTTTTCTAATTGGTTACAAAATTGGTTAAGGGGGCCTTAATGAATTCTTAGCGCTTTTCCTAATACAATCATGCACAGGTTCCTAGAAACAGCCAGTCATATTCAGCGAAACTCTTGACAATGACTAAAATGATACCTATGCATTCTAAAACATGGCAGACAATTGAACCTAATAACACTATAACTCACTATTATTTCCTATAACTTCTTTACCATGAATTTGTTTCCATTAATCTTTTATTGCAGACCAACACACAGACACCAGTAATAGTTGAATAGTAATATGCTTGCCAATGTTTGCCTAAATTTAGTATCAATATTGCTTTCCTTCTCAGACATAGAGAATATTAAGTAACTAATGTTATTTACAATGACTTGTTTATTTCAGGGTCTGATTTTTGTTGTAGACAGCAATGATAGGGAACGTGCCTCAGAAGCCCAGGATGAACTTAATAAAATGGTGAGCATAGATGGACTGACATATTGCTATCAATTCAGCATTAGATATCCTTTTAATAACTATTTACTGTAAATTGAGTGTCAGGCAGACTTTACATTGCTTTTAGCAATATATTACCGTACTTCCCCGATCTTAAGCCTAGGGGCCTGAACATGTATAATTGGGAAAATTAGGGGGTAGGCTTATACTCGAGGACCGCCTCAGAAAAGATAATTTTTGGGGGGTTTAAAATTGTAACCATCTTCCTATCCACGAAGAATTATCCAAATTACTTTTTAGCTCCGCTGTCGACTTTGTCGAGCGGAGCTTATCATATGAGTGATTGTCCGTCGTCCGTGTCAATGTTTTACTTTTTCGACTTCTTCTTGAAAACTACAAGCCTAAATGCTTTGATACTTGGTGTATATGTACCTTGGGTAGACCTCTCTTAGGTTTGTTCATTTCATG